AACTGTTTCTTAGCATGTCACTTAATTGTTTGGAGGCTTTTTAAAAACATGAAAAAATTAAGATATTATGAGATTTTACCATTTTACCATAATTGGTCTCTTAATTTTGATTACATTTCTTCAAATAATTATTAGATAAATAACATCCTTCTAGAAAAAGGAATTTCAGGGGTACATTTCTGCTGGCTAAAGTTTAAAACTAACTTTAAATGCGCCTTGAATAAACTTCTCATATTTTTTGTGGGAATGACCACAGAACCAAAATAGAGCATACCGCTTATCTGCAAAGAGCCGTGTTCTAGCAATGGCATCAACCAATAGAAATCTTTCCAATTAGGGGCGCCTAGGTGGCTTAGTCTGTTAAGCCTCCGACTTTCCCTTAGGTCATGATCTCGTGGTTCCTGGGTTCGAGCCCCGTGTCGGGCTCTGTGCTGACTGCCAGCTCAGAGCCTGGAGCCTGTTTCAGTATGTGACTCCCTCTCTCTCTGACCCTCCCCTGCTCACGCTGTCTCTCTCTCTCCTAGAAATAAATAAAACATTAAAAAAAAAAAAAGACCATTACAGAATTTAGGGTCAGAATTATTTTATATCCTCAGGAGATATACTCTCAGGGACACTACAAATTTAGGGTGTTGTTACTGATTTGACTTACTGTTTACTAAATAAAACTGGCTAAATGATCACTCTTTTAAGGCAGTCTTTTTTTTTTGTTTTAGAAGATAATGTTTCATGTAATGCAACCTATTTTGGATGAGGAGATTGTAGTCTGATCTGATTCACCTTCTGAAAGAAATTTATAGAAGCCAACATAGTTCAGAATAGTTAAAAGTGTTTGCTTTTGAAATTGAGATGCTGAGATAAAAATATAAATTAAGAAATCATTTTTGGTAGATCTTATAACATTTTTCTTTGATTAAAAATAGAAAAATTTTATGCAAGGAACACGTTTTCTAAGATTCTGAACTTTATGATAAATATCAATTTTATAAGTAAAAATATGATCTGTAATTTGGAGGCAGTTCTAGTCCTATGAATACTGATTTATGAAAGAAATTCAAGTGAATAAAAACTTAAAAATGTTTTTCAAAATAACATCTGTACCAGCTTCCTCTCCTGGATCTTAGTAAGACTATATGAAGTCCTGAGTATATTCTTTTGTTAAATTTTGCTATTAAATTTATTCATTTTTTCAGCAAACTTTTATTAAGTGCTTACTATGTGCCAATTGCTGTTCTAGGTGCTGGAATAGTGTTTTGAACAAGATGAACAAGGCTGCTATTCTCACAGAGCTTACATTTTAGTGGAGAAAGACATTTTAACTAATGATCAGCCAATAAAATAAGATGGTTTCAGACTGCAGTATAGGAGAAATAAGTTCACACAAGAGTATGGAGTAAGGGAGACAGCACCTACTTCAGAGAGTGTTTGAGAGAAATGTGGTATTTGGGGTCTTATCTGGATGATATGTAGTTAGCCATGTGAAGACCAGTTGCTCAGCATCACTTAGAACGATTCTCCCCCTCTATCTTTATTCCTTTCCCAGTGTGCCTTCCAGGTTCAGTGGAAGGATCCAGGAGCTGCTGGATTCTTTTCTAAATAGAGAGAGACCGAGGACAGCCAGACGCATCTGAACCTAATGCTGTGTTTCCTGTTTTTCTGCTCCCCTTACCTTTCCTCCTATACCTTCCCAACAATTTTGCACACTTTTACACACCAAGGAGTGATTTCTTGTCTTACATACGTTAGTATAAAAAATAGAATGTGTTTTAAAATTGAAGTATAGTTGACACACTATGTTACCCAAAATAGGATACTTTTAATGTTTTTTCCCCATTAGCACTTACCTCTAACAAACTGTGTAGGTTATTTTTATTGCTTTTGTCCACCCTCACCAACCCTATTAAGAATTTTGATGTTATTTTTCACTGATACATCCAAGGACTTGATGTGGTATTCAGAATGCAATAGGTATTAAGTGAAATATTTGATGGATGAATAAACTGGCACCTGATATGAGGGAATCTGCTTGAGTTAGTGTCTGTTTGGCCTTGTTCACCAATGATATTAAATCATCCTTACATCTGCCTTCCGTTTCTAGAATCAGTCCAGTATTATTAAGCCTGTCGCTTAGTGTGAGCTGTCTGACACAATGTTTCCAGAGGTTGTCTCCTATAGAATTTCCTATAGGAAGTCTCAGGTGGAGCAACATTTTGAAAGATTTGCACAGTGCTTTGTAATGCTGACTTTCCTTTTGAACAGACAATATGGGATACCTTCAACTTGAGGCGCTAGCACCCAGATGAGTACAGAGATTGCTTGTGCCAAGTCTGTATTTCCTATTGGGTACATTTATGTTAACAGATTTGTTACTTTGGGGTGTCACTGGATTCTGTTTTTAAGGCAGTTTATATTTCAGATACAGTTTCTGACACATACCTCCCCCATCAATTTTTATCCCACCATTATGTGCCTCATTGTGAAAAGTAGTAGAGTGTTACCTGTAACAAAAGTTGGTCAAGGTCTTCAAACAGTACTTTACTTCATGTTCAAGCATTACGCTGTCACTTAATTTGTGAAGAACTGCAGCTATCGTTTTGACATATTAGAAAGTGCGTTAATTTGGAAAGTCTAGGTGTCTCACACCCCCTGGTAGTTGAATCCCAGATTATCTTCTACATATAAGCTGGGGTGAAAATATAGTCATATTTCTTGTGAAAGCTTTTTCTTCCTTTATATTAATAGGTATAGATAGATAGTATAGTTGAAATTTTAAAATGTTCTAGTGCTTTAGTTCATGATTGTAACTTGTAGGCCCTTCCTTTAACTCCTACTTTATTTAGTCAGATTTCTTTGAAAAAATGTAGGAAATTGTAAATATTTTCATATGTATCAGTGTTTTGCTTACTTGTCTCAAAACATGTTTTTGTTCCAGGGTACTTAATTATGTGAACCCAGAAAGGGCAAGATCTGTTCCTGACCCACTCTTGTGGACAGTCACCTGGAAAGAAAATTCATTTGTATTTTTTCCATTTAAAAATATTTTTTTCTTCAATCTTTTAAGACATTTTCACCTATAACCAATCTGCTACAGCAATTATCTTTCCTCAGTCTCTGTATAAGTGCTTTGTAATTCTTCAAATACTTAGAAGCTTTTTGGAAATGAATGTCACTGTATTTATGCCATCACATATATGCCACAAATTTAACCATCTTCTCAACTGACTAAAATTCTTTATTTTATATAAGAAACGCTGATATTTCTTATTTATATTGCCATTTAAATTCCTTACTGTTATTTCTTTGCACTTAAAGATGGATAACTGTAAGGCTCATCTCCTTTGTATTCCTTTACCTGATGGATTATGTCTTCCTCTGCTTTTTGTCCAGTTTCTAAAATTTATTTTCATATACTTAGTATAGTTTTCTAGTTTAAGGGAGGAGAGATTCCTCATCCCTTTTATGCCACTTTTACTGGAAGTGAAAATTCAATTCCATGTTTTTGAATGATTTTCATAAAGATTATTAAAGGAAAAAGAGATTTCAATACCTAATCGTTTAGACTCATCTGTCTGGGAAAATTCACTTATGTTGACCATCTCTTCTATACATGATGTAAAAGTATAATACTATGTATTATACCTGCTACATACAGATATTATGGCAAGAATTTTATTTTTATTAATTTACCTAATCTTTCCTCTAGCACTATGAAGTAGGTACTTTTATTTTTACCTTTCACATATGGGACAGCTGAGACAAAAATAAGTTTTCCAAAATATTTACACCTAGTAGGTGGAAAGGTAGATTTCAGAATCAGAAATTGTCCATTCAGATACTGTACTATTGACTAATACGCTATATAGTACTTCCTCAAGATTGTGATACAGTGTAACCTCTGTTAGTAGAAATGTAGAACAACTTTAGCTTATTGGCTAGTTTTACCTCTCAAAATTCACGTCTTTCTTTTTTTTTTATGTTTACTTGCTTAAAAGAGACAGAGACAGTGTAAGCAGGGGAGGGGCAGAGAGACAGGAAGAATCCCAGTGGGCTCTGCACTGTCAGTGCAAAGCCTGACTCCAGGCTCGAACTTACAATACTGTGAGTCATGTCCTGAGCCAAAATCAAGAGATAGAAGCTTAACCAACTAAGCCACCCAGGCACCCTTAAAAATTCATTTCTTAATAACATGAAATTATGAAAACCAGTGACATGTTTTATTTTTGAGTAGAGTGTAACAAATAGTTATATGCATGTGTACAGCTTGTCTAGACAAAAATATATGGGAGGGGATGCCTGGGTGACTCAGTTGCTTAAGTACCTGACTCAATTTTGGCTCAAGTCATGATCTCACTGTTTGTGAGTTTCAGACCCACATCAGGTTCCTTGATGAGAAAATGGAGGCTGCTTAAGATTCTCTTTCTCCCTCTCTGCCCCTCCCCAATATGCTCTCTCTCAAAGTAAATAAACTTAAAATATATACTTGTGTGTGTGTATGTGTGTATGTATATATATATATATACATATATATGTATATATATAAAAGTATATACATACACTTATATGTATATATATGTATATACATAAAAACAAGCTCTCTATTTCCTTAAGAGTTGAAATTTTTTTTGACTTATAAGCAATTATTACTTGTACTGATACAAACTGTGATCATTATTAAATGTAGAAACTCATTTACATGTTTTAGTTAAACACACTTAATATGTCAGAATTGCACATGAAACAGAGCATACACTTGAAGTAATTTCCTAATAGTTTTCTGAAACCATTTAATAGCCTCTGTCAGGGCTATCATTGTCAGTTGTTGACTTAATTAGATGTTCTAGATGAAGTTTCGATTTCAACACATATGATTTATAATATAATGATCTAAACCTTTTGATGGTTTAAAAATATTGTATTTACCTATGCCATGAAATGTCACGACAGATATTGGAGAAGAACATAGATTAAGTTTCATATTTTCTTTTATTTTGATCTTTCAGATTGCATTTTCACAACACAATACAATCATGGATCTTGTGCAGTTTTTTGTCACCTTCTTCAGGTAATTTGCTTTTACTGACTTTAAATTTATTAAACTTATATTCTGATAATGTTCTGTCAGCCTGTTTGGTAGTTTATCAAATCTTTAAACTTAAAATATCAATGGTGTGTCTTGAATAAATATATATACTTAAATATATAACAGAGCAGAGGAAGCATACTTGAAATGTACTTTTCAAGATTATTTTGCTGTCATACTATATAATTGCTAATGGAATCAGTGGAAGGAAGATAACTTTGTGTTCCTGTCACATAAGTAATGAAAGCCTGCTTTAATTAATGAAATTAACAGTATAGTCATATATTGATTAGGTATATGTCATACAGTTAATTCAGTTCTTTGTCAGGTAATTATCATATGTGCTTAGCTACATGCTAAAAATCTGTAGGGAATACAGTTTCTGTCCTCAGTGAGCTTCTAATGTGGAAATACTAAATACCACTTTGAATAGAGCATCATCCATAAAACATTAGTTATTTGAGGTATTAACAGTAAGTTCATAAAAAAGTTTCCATAATTAAACAAGTTTGAAAATATGGCTCTTTTAGTTTGTTTTTAACTGACATTACTTCTACCGACATTGTGAGAGGTCCCCCCCCCCCCTTAGAGCTTTTAATGTGCTAATTTCCAATGTATCTTGCTAAAAGAGAAGGTATAGTTTATAGCATTTCTCCAAACATGAAAACTCTTTTCAGGGAACATCTATTATTAATTCCATGGGATGTAAATAAAGAAACGTTGGATTGGGAGAAGAATGGAGTCAGTGATAGGATGTCTATGTTATGACATCTTAGATCTCTGGAGAGGAAGGGATATTATACTTGTTAATATGATTATTATATGTATGTACTGGTTGTGCTGGAGCACTGGGTGCCTCCATGCAAATTAGACAATTTGGGCAGACCTAGCCCTACATTATGGCATACAACTTTACAGAGTGCAGTGTGAATTTTGACTCTACTCACCAAGTTGGCTGGGCTGCCTTATACAGTGAAGAAACCTGTACAACCCAATCCTTGACATGGCTGATATGCTAAGCACTTTCTTAGCCGCCAGCATAACCATTATTGGTTATCTTGTTCAGACACCACTACAATACTTGAATTCCTAAAGCCTTCCCCACAGCGAAGGGCCAGATAGTAAATATTTCAGGATTTGTGGGCTGTACTATCTCTGTTGCATATACGCCAATGTGCTGCTGTGGTATTAAACCAACATAGCCAATAAGGAAACAAATGGGAGTGGCTCTGTTCCAATCAACCTTTATTACAAAAACAGCTGGTGGGCTGGATTCTGCCTGTGGACATAATTTGCCCAACCCCTCATCTAGCTTATGCCCGAATGCCTTTAATGAAAGAATTCATCATCTCCTGAGATAGCATTTTCTATCTTCAGATAACTAATTGTTCTTTGTAATTGAGATGAAATCTGTCTCCTCATAATACCACTTCTCATTCATCCATATGGTCCAACGCATAGCAAGTCTAATCTCTCATTGCCATTTATAGCCCTTCAGTTTTCTAAACTCTTTTTTCCAATTTCCATATTCCCTATTTATTCACTTCTGTTGTCAAAACCTTTGCCACGTCGGTCACTTTACCCTGAAAACAATCATGTTTGTCTATGTTCCTTTAAAAGTTGTAATTTCCAGAATTTAACAGTGTAAACATATTTATCACTAACATGTGTGCCTACTTTAAATTTTCCCCTTGAAAAGTGAAATAAGGAAACATCTTAAATATATTTAATGTTTTAGGACTTTGTATTTCTGAGTATAAATGGATTTTAGGGCTATTTAACTAAGTTACAGTGTGTTTTGGGAAAGTATTAGAAGTTATAATCGAACAAGCATTATTTAATGCATCAAAATAAAACTTTTTTGATGCAGAAGGGCATGGATAGAAATATACTGAAAAGTTCAGCTCTGTATAAAAATTCAGAAAGTTGAATATATATGTAAATTATTTAAATGTTTACGGTTTTATTTTAAGCTTTTGAATTTGTATGCATATTTAAGTTCAATAGTCTTTTTATTAAGTAAAATAAAGCTGGTGTTAACGTGTACCATGTCTTAGAGATGATCCTATTTATTATGTTGTCATCATGGGCAAAGTGAAATAAAATATTCTAACTGTTGTGTGAGATAAAATGTATTTGACGTGTTTTTTTGTCATTTAAATTTCTTTCAGTAGTGAAATGTAAATTAGTTTTAAAATTATCTCATTGTTCAGAAAAACATGGACAGAATATTTTAATGTGTTTTTTTTTTTTTTTAATCCACTGCTAAATTTTACAAGAGAGCTTTCAACAGGTCAGCATTTCTAGACAGTCTTCAGTCAGGCCCCTGTTATTGCTATTGCTGTTTCTAACTGAGTTACTGAATTTGCAGAGGTGAATGTGCCAGCTTTTTGGTTTAGCCATGGTTTGATGAAGGCCAGTTCACAAACTCTTTCAGTATTTACCTCTATAGTGGGCATAATTCTGATGGTAAGTATGATGGGGCAAGTACTAGGGAGATCATTTATAGGCATAGCCTGGCTCTGATCTTAGCTTTCTATACTATCCTAAGGAGGTCTTACTTAGTAGGTGGAAATCTCAGTCCTTTCTTATATAGAATTAAAGGGTTTTGTTGTTGTTGTGAGAGTCTGTAGTATAATATGGTTTATTAAATATAGTTTATTAAATATACTTTATTAAAAATAAATGTCTTTTTTTTCTGGTATATAAAATGGAAAAGTAAGTCTGTGTGAATCTGAAAATTCTAAATTATTTATTGTAAAAGGAGGTAAGCCTTATAAATTCAATGGAGATTTAGTAGGAACTACTTCCAGAATTTATCTTTTTTTTTTAATGTTTTTTATTTATTTCTGAGAGAGAGACAGTGTGAGCAGGGCAGGGTCAGAGAGAGAGGGAGATATAGAATCTGAAACAGGCTCCAGGCTCTGAGCTGGCTGTCAGCACAGAGCTCGATGCGGGGCTCGAACCCACGAACCTTGAGATCATGACCTGAGCCAAAGTTTCGGACGCTTAACCGACTGAGCCACCCAGGCACCCCCCCCAGAATTTATCTTATATTAGGATTATTGCTTCCTTTTCTCTGTGAATTTTGCCTCTTTTTTCCATTTCATTTTTTTCTTGAGAACCCATGCAAAAGCTCTGACAGTGTTGGAAGTCCTTTTAAAAACCACATTTCATGGCTGTGTTCCATTGTTTTCTTGTTTTCTAATTCATTATTTGCGTTGTTTCCTGCTTTTATTTCTTCTACTTTTTTGGAGTTGCTGTATTATTTTTTCAAATTTTTTATTTGAACATGTAATCAAGCTTCTTAGTTTCTAGTTATAAGGCTCTGGTATATGTAGCTAGGTGTGTTAAAATTCCATTGTTAAAAATTCCTGTTTCAGCTGCGTTCCGTGAAGTTTTTTTATTATCCTGCAATTCAAAATATTTTCTAATTTCTTTTATGTTTTCCACATGAGTTATTTAGAAGTCTGTCTTTGAATTTCCAAATGTGTAGGATTTTGTCAATGCGTCTTTTTTATTGGCTTTTCTTCAGTCAGTGAAAGACCTTTATGATACTTCTATATTTCTTAAAATTTTTTCTGTTGTCAAAGATATGATCGACATTTGTAAATGTTCTGCTTGCTTGGTAATAATGAGGTTTCTCAGATCATTGGAATCAGTATTTTATAGATACCCATTAGAATAAAACTTGTTGTTTTTACCGTATGTTCTTCTTCAGTGTCCATGTTCCATGTTCACAGTATCATGTGAGATTTATTACTATTTCACTCTATTACTTTTACATATTTATCAACTTAGTCTTCATAGTTTTTCATTTTAATATTATGGTTTTAGGGGAAATAATTTAGAATCAATAAATTTTTCTTATGGATTACTGTGTTTTTCCCTCAATTTTTAAATTAGGATAAAATACACATAACATAAAATTTGCCATTTAACCATTTTTAAGTGATCAGTTTAGTGATAGTAAGCACATTCATATTATTAGGCAGCTATCAGCATTAACCATCCCAGAACTCTTTTTATCTTACAAAACTGAAACTCTATGCCATTAAATAATAATTTCCTATCTCCTTTCCTTCAGCCCCTGACATTTATCATTTATCCTTCTTTCTCTGTGATTTTTGACTACTCTAGTACATTATATAAGTCCTATCATGTAGTACTTATTCTTCTGTGACTGGCTTATTTTCTCTTAGCATAATGTTCTCAAGATTCATCCCTGTGGTAACATATATCAGAATTTCCTTCCCTTCCTAGGCTGAATAATATTCCATTATATGTATATACCATGTTTTCTTTATCCATTCATCTTTTCATGAACACTTGAGTTGTATCTCTTTTAGCTATTGTGAATAAAGCTGCTATGAACATAAGTGCACAAATATGTGCTCTACACCTTGCTTTCTGTTCCTTTATGTATATACCTGAAAGTGGAATTGCTAGGGTAATTCTGTTTTTTAATTTTTTGAGGAGTTTTCCTACTGTTTTCCACAGCAGTTATACCATTTTAAAATCTTACGAACACTGCACAGGTGTTCCAATTCTTCTCTATCCTTACCAGCACTTGTCAATTTTTTTGTTTGTTTCTGTTTTGATGGTAGCTATCCTAATGAGTGTGAGGTAGTATCTTACTGTGGTTTTGATTTGCATTTCCCTAACAATTAGTGATGTTTAGCATATTTTCTTGCTATTTGTATATCTTTGTAACAATATCTATTCAAATCTTTTGCCCATTTTTGAATTAAGTTCTTTTTTGTTTGTTTTGTTGTTTATTTGTTGAACGGTGGGAGCTCTCTTTATACATCCTGAATATTAATTGCTGATAATTAATATGATATATGATTTTCAATTATTTCCTCACACTAAGTATCTTGCTTTTTACTCTATTGATAGTGTCCATTGGTGAATAGAAGTTGTTATTATGAAGTCCATTTTGTCTCTTTTTTCTATTGTTGCCTATGCCTTTGGTGTCATAT